AGTAAAAATATTGATAGAAATAAAAATTAAAAATATATTTAATTCTTTATTTTTTTAATTCCATGCAAATGAAATTGCATTTTTTTTTTAATTTTGATTCGTTTATCTATGAGGGACATGAGATATGTTCCTAGGAATGATGGAAATGTTTAGTAGATTTAGTGGTGTGTATAACAGATTATATGTTGGTTAATTTTGTTGTCGAAAGTTTCATTTAGCTATTAAAAGTATCGAAACTAGTTTATCTTACAAACTTAGTGTATGGAGATATTGTCGAGCTAGTTCACTACAATGGCATTTTGGTGTGTATAGATGTTTGTTATGGAAAATTAAAGGACCGCCACACTTATTCAAGAGTTAAATCCAAACATATCATAGTTAATCGTAAAGTTTTACATTTTAACAAAAAAATTTAAATCAACAAATCAATCAATATGATAATCTAACAAAATATCTAAATCAACAAATCAATCAATATGATATTTTAAAAGTTAAAAAGTACTCATTGATATAAAATTAATAAAGAAGTTTAATTGTGTTGAAAAAAAATCAAAATGATTAATGATAAGTATAAAATATAATTATTGGAAAATTTGTTTGTTAATTTGTCATTTCAATTTAGATTTTATATATAATACCATATTTAATTTTGTTTGTAAGCATTAGAAAAGACAATTTGATTTTGTTTTATATTTAACAAGATATTAAATTTAATTAATTAAGTATATTTGATTAGTAATTTAAAAGGTGTTGATCTAAATAAGAATGTTTTACATCTTACAACATATTTAAATTAATAAATTGTATATATTTAGTTGAAAGTTAAAATATTAGCATAAAAAATTATATATTAAAGAATTTAATTCATTAAAAGTTAATGAATATGGTTTAAAATGTTCAACCACATAAAATAACGACCATAATTATAAGATATGCTAGAAAAATGCTTGTACATATCATAGTATTACATGTATTTAGTTTAATATGGAGAAATACATGTTTTTATGAATAACAAAATTATTGTTATTAACTACAAAATAATAACTTTATATTAAATTAAAAATTGATATTAACTTATCTTTTATTTTGAACCATATGATAAGATACATGGCTCTTAAAAGGTCGGCACTTGAGATTGGTAATACTTATAATGACCTAATAAAATTCAGATTAATGTGGTTTAAGATAAATAATTGTCTCGAATGACATGTACTCAAGAGCCTTTACATATGGATTGTACGTGAATTAAATTTTGTATAACTAAGGGTTAAATTCTCACGCGATCCACTTGCCCTTAGAAACGACAAAAACTGCAACACACTCTTGAATCGTGTTATGGAATTTGATTAAAAAACTGAATGGATGCAAAATTATAGGTCTAAGGTTATTTTATTAGTTTATTTAAAACTGTTTAATATTTATATGTATAAATAAGAAATATATTGAATTTTATAGGTTGATGATATTTTGTATTAAGATAAATTATAAATACCTTATCGTTGAACTCAATAATTTATGATGAATATAATGGTTTAATTTTTTTCGAAATTAGATGATATTTAGAGTATCATATTCAATGGAAAAACAATATACATTTTATCAAATTCTTGTGGATTTGAACATCGATATAAATTTAACTAAATAAATAAAAATGAATTTTGAGACCAAAAATATATGGTGTATGATATATTTCAGATTGAGACAAATTTATATTATTATGTTGATAAAATAAAATATTTTAAATGAGATATTTGAATTATACTGAATATTATATAATAAAAGTTATGATATAAATTCAAATTAACCGTTTTTACTTGATTACAAACAGTAAAAGAACATCAAAAAACTATTAAAGTTAGTTATTATTTATTAATTATAATTCAACTTAATTTTTATTTTATTGTTATTCATTAAAATGGTTGCATTCAAAGGGTATATATGACCTAAAAGCAATGACGATTTCATCATTTCTTTTTGTTGGGGGCATTTTTTGAATTTCTTAAAAAACATAAAAGACTTTCAAGTATAAAATTTAATAACTAAGTTATTTATATGTAATTTTTTTTTTTTTTGGCATTGGAGGCATGTGCCCCAACTACCAAAGCTTTAAATCTACCACTGCCTAAAAACACTAAAGTTATCATCTATCATGAAATAGCCATTATTTTAGTTAACCATGCTTATTAATTTATGTGTGGTCATGGGCTCACACAATTTTTCTTCATATTATTTATCACTCATGTTCAAGGATTCCATTCCACAACTACTCTCCATTCACATTCCTTCAATGGTTCAACGGTACTGTCTCTCTTTTTCAACATTACCGCCTTTCACGAAATTGATTTAATCCTTCGTAAGTATCATGTTCGCCCTTATACGTTGTGTTTACATCTCCAAATAGTCTTGATGGGCGCTATTACTACCTCTTTCATGGTCCGACTTCACAAAGCTCTCTCCCTCTTTCTTGCTTCGTTCATGATCGATTTTTTTCGATTTTTTCCAATCTTTGATAGAAAAACATAAAATAAAAAATATATAATATTTTTATATATTTAATCAATAAATAACACCATGCTTGAGAGCATTTATCCTCTTCATTTTAATTTCTTTTAGTTTGTAAAACACTTTTGAACAATGTGACTTTTATAGCAAAATAAATTTGCTAAAAAACATACTGGCAAAAAGAAAATTACCTTATGAAAAATTCGCGAGATTGAACATCATCGCCAAGTGGCAACTAAATTTAACGAATCTTTTTTGCACCTTGCAAATTCGCGAATCCTTTTTCGCGACCCTTTTTCTATCCCTTATTACACTGTCTAAACTTACCACCACGTCCACACCACACATACGTACATCCACCATTAAGCTCATCTCCAACCTTAACCTTCATCGCAACCCTACATTACAATATCTATATCATAATACCTAGCCGCCTTCACCTTTTAGCCAACAACTACCATTGTCTCCATCTCACACAGGCCATCGAATCTACATCCTTCAACATCAATGTACCTACAAATCAGTATGGAACAAAGAGTGACTTGTGTTTTTTTCTTCTTTGCGGCTTTCAATTTCCTGAATCGATGTTTAGAACCCTATATTCCAACCCAAACTTACATATAACCTAGGCAATTAATAGCGCCGAGATCTCGGTGGGATAACGTTTCGCGGGTGTTGGCAAAATAGCGGTTTCAAATAGCGCTCAGAATAGCGCAGCCGCTAATATCGCCGAGATTGGCCGCTATTTTCCGCTATTTCGACTCCAAGATCTCGGTTTTTGACCACTATTTCACAAAATTGATTTTAGTTATGCCATTGCTTTTTCTTTCTGTTTCTATCGCTTTTTTCCTTCTTCTATGGATTTTGGAATAGAGGAGTTGCGTATTTCTCCTTTATTAATTAATTAATTAATGATATATATATATATATATATATATATATATATATATATATATATATATATATATATATATATATATTTCAAAAACCGCTATCCCACCGATATCTCACCGCGAGAACCGCTATTTTAAATCACGGCAAGTGACCGTGATTAGATTTTAGACCGCAATAACTGCATAGCATATAACAGTATCAAACCCCTTTTGATTTCAATGCTAATTAGAAGGTTTTGTGCCTCTATCCTCGTTTCAATCTTAACCTAGTTTCTCTTATTAAAAAACTTACCAACCCTCTCTTCGCCTTCAACAAAATCATTCCAAGAATACCAAATTCCTAAACCCCCAAAGAGACTTGCTCCATAACCGCCAAAGAGACTTGCTCGATTCGATACACACACACTCAAACACACTTGATTTGGGTTCAACACACACATTGAAAAATTGAAAACCACACACTCACACATAGTGAATTAGACAAAAAGGGTGTGTAAACTCAATTGAAATCAATCACATTCGAAGATAGAAAATATGTGTAGATGATGAACTTGGTGGTGTGAAAATGACACCGATGAAAGTGTTTATGTTCCATAGAGAGATAAAGACATAATAATGAAATAAAAGATGGACAATAAAGTCTTTTCAAATGAAAGTATTTTTGAAAATTTTAATCTAAAAACTAATTTTTGGTAATATTTCAATTTCTAACAATATCTTGAAAAAAACAAAAATCAATTCAACTTATGAGATTTTTACAAGGCCGTTTTCGTCATTAAACGTTAGATAAATAGAAATAAACTTTATTCGAATGCGTGTTTAACACAAAGGTTTTAAGAACTTTCGTTTTTAGCTTTTAGTTCGTAAGAAAAATTTTAATTTTCTTTTTTAGTTAATCATCAGGAGTATTTAATTCTTATTTTAAACAACTTTTTTTTCTTCATAAAAGTAGCTTTTTGAAATATTTTTAACTTTTGATTTATTTTAGCCAACCCCCAACTTTCATCTATCAAATTTCAACTATCGACTACTGCCTTTCTAACTGACACCTAATTGCTAGCCCTATACACTATTCAACATGCATATATGTGTGATGTGAATTAACAGGGATGTTCCCAATAAGCCAGTACACAAATCCCAATACCAACTGGTACGCGTCGTAGCTATCAATCATGTTGTGTGGGAACTGGGGAAGGGTGGGAAAACGAGCGCAAACGAGAGTGCGATGGATGATATAGTCTTAGAGTGGTGGGGGCATAGAAGAAACATGGTCAGGAATTCGGTATCTTTTTATATACTACTTTTTACGACCCACCCGTTTAAAATGTTAAATGTTTATTAAATACTTTCAATTTCAATAATAAAACTAATAAAAACCAGAAGCTCTTCCCCTAAATTTATCATATTCAATTCTTTCCTTCCATGATACTCGGCATTCATTTTTCCTTAAAATAAATAGATATAAATGAAATACAGTGCGTATTACTGTACTTGCAACTAGAATCACAAAGCTACTTGATTATACACCACCTTCTTCAACCACCGTCATCCTTTCCCAGCTTCAACTTTCAGTTGTCAAATCCAGTTTCTTTTTGTTCCTGATAGGGTTTCTGCAAACTCAAGCTTGATGAAGCACCGACACCACGAACAGCATCATCCTCCGTCGAAGAATCAGGGCCATGAGGTACATTTGTTTCTCCTTCACTAGCTTTTTATTGTACACAGTCAGCACCGGATAAGATCATCGACGTATTCATCCAGTACGAAGAAAAGCTTTTTTCTAGCTGAGAACCGGATGTATCGGTTGTACATAACGTCATTAAGATCTGTGAAGTTATTTGTTATGTGTGTGTTTTGGTTGTTCAGATTTGTAATTTGGAGAACTTAAGAAGAACTGCGAAGGTCGTTGGGCTGAAATTATTGTTTCGGCTGTACGTGTTTGCAGGTGTTCTGGCCGAGAATCGTTATCCGGAAGTGGCTCAACCGTTCTGGTAAAGATTCGGATTACAGCGCTGATCCGGAGGATGAAGATAGCAACTATGATTCCGAGGGCGAAGGTCAGATTTAACTACTTGTTCATTTGTTTTGTTGCTATAATATCTGTAGATGTTGATTCTACTTGCACCTATTAGATCTCTGAACTTTGAGCAACTTTGGAGTTTGGATTATGTATGAGTATATAACTAATCGATAATATACACCAGATATTTTTCAAACAGTTCTTGTTATAATCCTGCGTGTAGCCCAAATTGTCGCTAATTGGGGGAGTAAATTAGGATTAATATGTGGATTTCTGTGTAACAGTTGGAGCAACTTTGGATCATATATATTTGTTGTATATTAATTTGATTTGATTTGTTTGATTTTGTTTTCACAGAAGACTCCTATGAATCGCCAAAAGAAACACGAGTCAAGGATAAACAAGCGGATGATTTCCAGAGTGATAATGGTAAAAACATACAATTTCTCTCTCCTTTTTTTTTTTTTTTTTTTGGTTTTCTTATAATGAAGTAGATACAAATGGCGTCACAAAGTGTTACTTGATGCTTTCTTTTATTATTTATTATTCAATTCAATAAAACATTCTGTGATCCATAAGTTTTTGTTGCCTTCCTCTTGGACCTTTTGTTGCTGTTTTGATTCTTTAATTTGATATTTAAGAGACCATGTGTTTTCTTGTGGTATTTAAAGAAGCCTACCAATTGAGAACTACGTGCATTAACTAAATATGTTTTATTCGCACTTTCTAGATTTCTTAACCTTTTATTGGTCTATTTTATTTTTACAGACCATTTGCATTGTTTATCTTTTTTACACTTCTTTCAAATTAGGTCTCTATTCATTCATTGACTAAATAAATTTTCCTTAATTGGTCAACAGGAGCTTTTCCAAGGTCAAGACGACGAAAGTCAGAGACATGTCGTGCACAGTATATAGAAGCAAAGGAACTAAAGTAAGCTTTCACATGTGATTTACATTTTACAACTGTTTCTTCACTATTTTGCTACTGTGTTAGCATCTTATGCTTTGTACTTTTTTCTTGCTTTCTTTCTAGAGTATCTGTCAGCACTTGGAATGTTGGAGGGAAACTTCCATCTGAAGATTTAAATATTAATGACATGCTCGATGTAGACAATCCTGCTGACATATACGTGATTGGGTATCTAAATTCCATTTCTTTGATTTTATCTATGCAAACAAAAACAGTAAAAAACAGTACTAATTTCCATGATTACTCAACAGTTTTCAGGAGATAATTCCTTTAAATGCTGGAAACATTTTTGGAGCTGAAGATAATCGACCAGTCCCAATATGGGAAAATGTGATTCGTGGGACCCTTAACAAAATTCAACCTGAAAAGACCAAATTCAAATGCTACAGTAACCCTTCATCTCCATCAAGATTTAAACCTTCTGAAGATGCTCCAGATATAGAAGATGAAGTAATTTTAGAAAGTGATAGTGAAGGAGAAGAAGAAGTCCACCCTTTTAATGAGGAATCTTGCTTTGATGATACACTTTCAACTATTCAAGAAAAGAAACTCGTTTGCTTTCCATCTGAAGAAAATGTTAAGGAATTGGTTGTTTCTAATAATAGAAAGTTGACAAGAATACTTAGTGGGACAGAAAGGATAGGGCTGAGCTGGCCGGAGCCACCGTTGGATCTTTTGGCACAGTGTGCAACAACAGAGAGACCAAATTCATTGAAAACTGTTAAATCTTTTACGACTTCTAAATCTTTTAGATCTTACGCTTCTTTTAAGTCGTATATAAATGTTGACATTAATAATAATCAAGTCATACCAGAGGAAGCTCTTGTTGCTGACCTGGATCTCGACTCCACACTGTATAGAAAAAGAAGACCCCCATATGTAAAAATTGTAAGCAAACAAATGGTGGGAGTATTTATTACAATATGGGTGCGTAGAAGATTAAGAAAGCATATACAAAATGTACACGTGTCGGCTGTTGGTGTTGGTGTCATGGGGTACATAGGCAACAAGGTGACACATGGATCTTATTTTGTATTATAAAAAATATATTACATCTTGTTAATCGTTTCCTTTCTTTTACAATTAACAGATTTTGTATTTTTATAATTTCAGGGGTCGATATCAGTGAGCATGTCGATATATCAGACACTTTTCTGTTTCATTTGCACTCATTTAACATCAGGTGAAAGAGAAGCTGATGCTGCTAAAAGAAATGCTGATGTTCATGAAATTCATAAAAGAACTCGTTTTAGCTCATTTTCAAAAAATACTCTTCCCAAGAAGATAGACAACCATGAGTAAGTATATACAGCTTGCAACTATTGGTTTATGTCAAAAATTTTATTTTTCTATTTTTCTTAGGAATTAACTTTCGTGTATATATTTCCAGTCGAATTATCTGGTTGGGTGATTTAAATTATCGGCTGAATTTGTCATACGATAAAACACGTGACTTAATTTCCAAAAACCGCTGGTCAAAGTTGTCAGAGTATGATCAAGTAAGTTGGTGTTATATTTATAAAAAGTAGCTTAAAATTGAATTAGAAATTTTAAATTATTTAAATGACATGTTAATTGCAGCTAATTAAGGAGCTAAGAAAAGGTCGTGCATTTGATGGGTGGTCGGAGGGTATTTTGGACTTTGCACCAACTTACAAATACGAGCAAAATTCAGAGAGATATTATGGGGAGGATCCGAAAGTTGGGAGGAGAACTCCGGCATGGTGTGATAGAATCCTTTCATATGGGAAAGGAATCAGGCAGATGAGTTACAGAAGAACTGAATTTATGCTCTCTGATCATAGGCCTGTGTCTGCATGTTATATGATTGAGGTTGAAGTTTTCTCTCCGAGAAAATTACAGAAAGCGCTTACTTTCACTGATGCCGAGATTGAGAATGATGGAATTGTGGCCGGAATGGGAATTGATCATGGAATCAACCACTTAAGATTAAAAGAGGTTAGTCGTCTAAGGGAGTGTTTGGCTCGTGGATTCTGACGGAATTGGAATTGGAATTCGTGATTCCATTCCATGGATGGAATTCAATTCTGACAGAATCCTTCAAATTCCATGTTTGATGCCGTTGGAGGAATTCAATTTCACTCTTCCTTTTTTTATTCTTTAAAAGATGAAATTACCCTAGTCATATATATTGGAATAATTAAAAAAAGTTCGTTGAAATTCATTATGTTTCTTGCCGACCAAACATTTTAATAAGATTTTGTTCTGTCGCAGGATACATATTGGTAGTCAGCATATGCACAAGGTCAAATGTGCTACTGAGTTGAGTTGAGTTGAGATGACTCGGGCTATTGGGACTCGGATGATTCTTTTATCATTTATGGTAACAGTTGAGTTTCATTGATTGTGATCAAAGTATGTGTAAATTATATGTGGTGGGGGTATAGTTTTATTCAAAGTTAGGTTAGCAAAGAAAAGTTCCCTTCAATAATTTTAGGAGAAGTGTTTACTTATATGCACTTATGGGCCATATACATGAAAGAAATGTCGTTTTTTTCTTTTAAATTTTTTGAAGTGCAAATATATTTTTCCTTGTAGTTTCTGTTCTCAGGGCTTTGTTGTTATTGTTGTTGGATTGGGTGAGTTTGGTCGCTGTACATGTAACGTGGTTTGGGAAGTAATTAAAATATAGTAGAATTTTAAGTTATTTTTTTGTTTCCTTTTTATGTATTTGTGAAATCTTTGAGAATAGAGTAAATGGTATTTTTGAAAATTCCTTCATTTGGTAACGTGGCAAACGTAGGACAATCTCAAGGTTGCATTTCAGAAAATTTACATTACGTCAGGAAATTTCCCAAAAAAATTATACTGTACTACAAAATTTAAGGAGTTGCATCGGCCATCCCGGAAACCCCTTTAAATCCGCTCCTTGGTAACGTATAAAGCATAGATTCCAAGTATTAAGTTTTTTAATCGATTATTTGTTTGTATATATACTCTTTGTATCTGAACTAAGTGCATGATAAAAGAAAAGTTGGAAATGCCAAATATATACTACTAAGTGAAATCTATTGTTAATTTGAAGAAATGAGTCTAAAAACAGACGATTGTAAAAGAACTAGAGGTGAGGCGAGAAAAAAACGGGTTTGATCTAAACCAATTTGGTTTAGAAAGATTTAACGGATTAGTACGGGTTTCACATAATGAGTCTTAGTGGGGCATGTCTTATGTAAAAACTAGGATCCCCAAGACTAATGATCACAAAGTGAAAACTAGAGTCAGTCGTAATTTGGGATGAGTATTAGATTACGTTTCAACGCCCAAATTAGGATGAGAAATTTGAGAGAGTGTAAGAGAGTAAATACTAAAGAGTAGGTGTATGTATTATTGAAACCTCCCATTTTCTAGGGTGATATTTATATTGTTATTGTGGTAGGTAAGACCTGCATTTTAGCCTAAACAGGTCGATGGTAAGATATGCTTTTAGCAAGACGTGCTCTTTTGGGAATGGCGAAACATAATCTGATGTTGGACATAGATACTTCATGTATGGGTGTTTGTGGGGGGTGGGGGGTGGTCTTAGGGACCAGGTTACGGTTACGACTTTAATAATTTCTTGTATTGTTGTGTTACAAATTGGAACCCAAGTGTTCTTTTGTCATATTAGAATCCGACCCTTCGGTGTGTTACACTACTAAGTCCTCCTGATGATCACAAAGTGAAAACTAGAGTCGGTCGTAATTTAGGATGTTCCCGAGATTACGTTTCGACGCACAAGTTAGGATGAGAAATTTAAGAGAATGTAAAAGAGTAAATATTGAAGAGTACATGTATGTATTACAAAAAACCTGCCATTAGCTAGGGTGGTATTTATATTGTTGTTGTTATGGGAGGCAAGACCCGTCTTTTAGCCTAAAAATGTTGCTGGTAAGATATGATTTTGACATGTCTATTTGATGAGCTTCTTTTAGGAATGGGTGAAACACAATCCAATGTTGGTTGTGAGATATTTTGCAACGAATGGGTGTTGGTATCCATATAGATGGTGTTTTAGCGCCCAGGGTGGGTTACAGCTTAATTAGTTTATCGTATTTTCATGTTACAATGCGGAAACCGCACTTAATTGTTCTGAATTGTCATATTAGAATTTGACCCTTCAGTTTGTGACACGATTAAGTCCCCTTAATGATCACAAAGTGAAATCTAGGGTCAACCGTAATATGTGATGAGCCTGAGATTACGTTTCAAAGCCCAAGTGAGGATGGGAAATCTGAGAGAATGTAAGAGAGTAAATATTAAAGACTAGATGTTTGTATTATTGAAACCTCACATTAGCTAGGGTGGTATTTATATTGTTGTAGTGGGAGGTAAGACCTACCTTTTAGCCTGCAAAGGTCGCTAGTAAGATATGCTTTTGGTAGGTTTCTTTGATGCACTCCTTTTGGGAATAGGCGAAACACAATACAATGTTGGTTGTGAGATATTTTTCCATATATGAGTGTTTATACCCTCATGGGGGATTGTTTTAGAGACCAAGTTACGACTTTAGTCGTTTCTTGTATTGTCGTGTTACAGTTAGAAACCCAAGTGTTTTTAATTGTCATATTAGAATCTAACCCTTTGATGTCTTACACTACTAAGCCCCCCCTAACGATCACCAAGCAAAAACTAAAGTCAGTCGTAATCCATAAAGTGCCTGATATTACGTTTCAATGCCTAAGTGAGGATGGGAAATTTGAAAGAATATAAGAGAGTACATATTGAAGACTAGATGTATTACTGAAACCTTCCATAGCTAGGGTGGTATTTATATTATTGTTGTTATGGGGGCAAGACCTGTATTTAAGCCTAAATATGTCGCTGGTAAGATATGCTTTTACCAGGTTTGCTTGATGCGCTCCTTTTGGTAATGGATGAAACATAATTTGATTAGGTTTGTGAAATATTTTTCCATGTATGGGTGTTTGTATCCTTCAAATGTGTGTGTGCGGGGGGGGGGGGGGGGGGGGGTTGTTGGTTGTGAGATATTTTGCCATGTATTGGTGTTTATACCCTTATAGGGGGTTGTTTTAGCGCCCAAATTACAACTTTAGTCGTTCTTGTATTTTCGTGTTACAGTTTGGAACCCAAGTGTAACATTTGTGCCCTAGTATGTGCCTTATAGCCCTTGAGTATTCAATATTTTCATTTTGGTCCCTGAAGTAGTACGTGGGGCGTACCACTTGGTACGCTTAGCGTACTGGGTTGATGGCGAGACATAACTTAGGTTGCATACGCTGGGCGTACGCAAGTGTACGTTGGGCGTACGTAAACTTTAATGAAACCCTAAACGGGGGTGTTGCACCCTATTTAAGCATCCTTATCTTCTGGGGCTGGCCTCTTTACCAGAACCGAAAGCCTCCAAAACCCTAAATCAAGTGGTAGCCTCCATTGTCAAGCATTTGAGCCTTTAAAGAGAGTTTGGTGTTCATTTTGTTCATTGTGAAGGAGTTAGAAGATCTTGAAGTTGCTAAGCTTGGAGAAGGAAGTCTTGGATCCAGAATCTCTACCTATTTTGCTAGAAGTTTGAGGTATCAAGTTCTTATCTTGCTTGCTAGATGCTTAGATCTCCTTTTTGGTTAAATAGTTATGTTTTTATCCATGGTTTGGATGGATGTTGGGATTAGGACGTCCCAAAGACTTATTCTTTCAGATCCAAGGTCTTCATGGACTCCTTTGGCATAAAGGTGCCAACTTTATGGAGTTTAGGGGCTTCATGCATCCATTAAGTCATTCATTAAGTCCTTTTTGAGCTTTACAACTTCTTATGGTCATGCATGGACGTAAAGTTAGCAACTTTACGTGATATTTCAGCTTAAAGTGGTCAGATCTACATCCTGGAGCAAAGTCTTAACAAGTTAAGGGCTTAATCTTGAAGTTGGTTGAATTGGTTGAGTACGTTGGGCGTACAAGCTTGTACGCACAGCGTATAAGCCCTCGATGCAGTACGCTTAGCGTACCAGCTGAGTACGCCCAGCGTACTCAGTCTGATGGCATTTCGATAATGGACTTTCAGTTTGGGCCTTGGTTTGGGCTTGGAAGGTTAGGGCTTAAATGAGTCATCTGATTTTGGTAGTTTTTGGGCCAGGTATGTTATTGGGCCTTTGGCTAAGGCCCATGTGAAGGAGTTGGGCCCAATTGGAAATTGGGCCATATTTTTGGGCCTTAATGGATTGTTTAACTTTTGGGCCCATTGGATTGTGGTTATGGACTTCATTCTTGGACCAAGCTAGGTTAGGGGTAAAATGGTTTTGTACCCCAAGTAGAGATTTTTGATTATGATGTAGATCCCAAATTTTAATTAGTTTTATGTGGTTATTGATAGCTCGGGGAGCTGTAGGACCAGCAATCTGGGATCATTCGTTTCATTTGACTTTTCGAGGTGAGTCTTCCTCACTGGGTTTAGTGGCTCGAAGGCATCGATGTCGGCCCATGTTTATGATATGTTACTATGCTAGCTGTCTTCGTGACTCTTGCATGTGTTATGTGTTATATGCCTACCGGGCTAGGGCCCGATGACCACTTGTATGCTATGTATCTTTGTGATTATTGCATATGTACGTGATTATTGGTATATGTTATATGTATGCTGGGCGGGGCCCGATCTATTACCGAGCGGGGCTCGATGTCGGGCGGGTCCCAATGCCAGACGGGGTCCGATGCCGGGCGGGGCCGGAAGACAGGGCGGGGCCCATTATATGTTATTGTATGTATGGTATGTGGTACTTTGGAAAAATCACTAAGCTTTGTGCTTACGGTTTTTAGTTTAAGGGCGTGTTCGGCACGGAGCGTTTAAGAGCGTTTGAGAGCTTCTAGCTTCTAGCGTTTGACAAAACGCTCCGTTTTGAACAGAAAACCTTGTTTGGCACTACAAGCTTCTAGCGTTTAGTTTAAACAAAACGCTCCAAATCCAAAAGCTACTTCATGTAGCGTTTAACAAAACGCTACAAGCTACAAGCTACAAGCTACCCGCTATCAGCTAGTTTTGCTGAACACGCCCTAAGTTTGAGGTACTTTCGGTTCCAAAGAGAAGAGTTCGGGTTGACTGCATCGCACACACCATATGTATTTTGTTTATGGGACATACTCTGATTTTGATGATATTTGACATATTTATTCTATTGGGATGTATGAACAATGTTTTGGAATATTGTTTTTACTTAAATAAAAAATGAAATTTTTGGGTCATAATTTTTTGGATGTTACACCAAGTGTTCTGAATTGTCATATTAGAATCTGACCTTTCGATGTCTTACACTACTAAGTCCCCCTAATGATCACAAAGTGAAAACTAGATTCAGGCGTGATCCATATAGTGCTTGATATTACGTATCAACACCCAAGTGAGGATGTGGAATTTGAAAGAATATAAGAGAGTAAATATTGAAGACTAGATGTATGTATTATTGAAAACTTCCATTAGCTAGGGTGGCATTTATATTATTGTTGTTGTGGTGGTAAGACCTATCTTTTAGCCTAAATATGTCGTTGGTAAGACATGATTTTGGCAGGTCTGTTTGATGCGCTCCTTTTGGTAATGGACAAAACATAATCTGTTTTTTACTGTGATATATTTTACCGTGTATGGGTGTTTGTACCCTTACACGAAGGGTGGGGTGTTTTGGCGTGCAGACTGGGT